AGGAGCCTTCACGATAACTTAGGTTGAAACCTATTTTATTGAGTGTTTGCACAGGTCAGATGCAAAGGCTGGACAACCCTCCTGCCCGCAGGTGGGAAGGTTTGAGCCCTTTGGCACAGTTTGGGTGGGTCCTGTCCTGTTGACTGGGTAAGAGAATGAGACTTCCTGAACACTTTCCCCCTCCCACACCTTGCACATGAATGAAGCGTAGACCGGAAATAATGCACCATCACTGACTAGGCTGGAGCAATGCCAGAGGTCTGGCATATGCTTGCAAGTGCGCAAAAAGTTTATGTTGGCATTGTCACTTGTGGAGGTGGATTCATTATCTGGGAACGGTGGGTATGTGCAGTGTTTGTTTTGAATGGCAAGATCTCTCTGGACCCAAGACATGACATCCGTAGTGGTTCAACGACCTGTGCCCATGTCTTACTGAACATCCTGAGTCCAGAGCTGTCTTTCACACTCATCACCGAACTAAAACAAAAGGGCATTAAGTGTGGAGCTTGTGCTTCTGTAGGAGCGGAGTGTGCATCTGACATGTTCCTACCTTGATACGACCCTGGTATGGTTCTTGCATTCAGTGAGGATGAAGTAGCGCTTGCATGTCTCCTATCACCTATGCATGCTTCGGGTGCTTGCATTCTTGCTGGTCTGGGCCTCCTGCAGTGCCCATGGCTGCAAAGCCCAGTGCCTTGTTTGAAATGCTCCTCCCTAGCTGCCGCTTTAGTCCTCACCATCACAATTTGAAGATCTCTGTGACACAGTGGAGCAATGGGAAACAGTACAGCACCACAGATCCGTCTTGAGAGCCCAAGTGAATGGCCTGTGGGCACCAAACCTCAGTGCCTAAAGGTGGTCATCCAAAGTCAGGCTTGAGGTTCATAGACAAGAACTACAGAGAAGTGTAGCTGTCACTACTAGGAATCCATTTCTGCCTTTACTGGGCTTTAAATATATTGACACAAGTCAGGATGGCAATGTTGGGTCGCTGAAAAGTGCCACGGGATCTCTGATTTCCATTTGGGTGGCAGCTGCCTGGTACAGATAGACAGGAGTATAGGTTATTGAATGCAGGCAGCACTTCTAAGAGTGCTGAATCTTTCCAGTGCTTTCCAGCTCCTTGCATCCATGTCATTATTTGGAGTTTAATCTGTATTGGTCCGGAAGCAAGAATGTAAGTGGCTGCAATGAGGAATTTTGATCAGGTGATTGCAATGGGCCACATTATGAGCCAGCTCAGTTAGCAGAGTCCTCAGGCACAATATGTTAAAAACCACAGTTGCTCTAGGGCAAGTAACGGTCTTTCCTTGCTGCGTGAATGCCCGCTAGGCATTAAATCTACTCGTGGCTCACCTCTGCTATTGCCACAGCAGTGAGAACATCCTGTTGACTGGTATTTCCTCCATGGTGACATCTCACACCGCTGAAAGTAAAGTGTCACCATTCACATTTGGATGAGACCGGGGTACAGTTGGGGTCCTGGGCTGAGATAGCTTCATGCTTTCCCTGCCCCACAAAGTTTGGCATTTTGCTAGGTGCTTGTTTGAATGATGACCCCTATCTGGAATTTGTAGGGCAGGGATGCAGTGCTCGGTCCACAGCTACAAGACCCTCATATAGAGGCTTCCCAATAAGAAGCAGTCATTTATTAAAGCGTGCATACCTCTGGGCACATTGATGGCTGCTTGTTAGTCACAAGGAGCAGGATCCTTGCGGGCATTCACTGGGCAAAGAAAGAGCATTACCTGCCCCAGCATTACTGTGAGTCTTAACATATTGTGCCCACGAAGTCCACACCCCACCCACTTTCTCTGCCCCTGCGGAGTTGTGTTATGTTGTTTCATATTTGGGAAGGAACTGAGGGGCGGCTGGGCTTGCTCCTCCTTTCGTGCCTTCGTTGGAGGGTGCTGTGTGATGAGATCTAGTGTACACACGTGGCCCCCAGCGACTGTTGGGCAAAAGCATCTTATCTTGTACACACTGGGGAGGTGTGTGCCAAGAGTGAAAGCCACATGGGCCGCATCTCGGAAGAAACCACAGCGCTGTAAGGTAAGTAATTTCTCAGGTCTAGGTCCAAGTATTTTCTGAATTGAGTCGCTACAGAGCTGGGCTGTCGACATGTGTCTTTTCAGGGTTAGACAGAGACACACAGAAGTCATTTTTTGGTAGAACTGTCTGGGTCTCTATCTTAGTTTTGTTTTAGGACCCATGGTGATGGTGTCTGAGTATTGCACAGCCCATGTGAACTCAGGTATCCAGGGTCAGAAATATTAATAAAATTAATTTAATTTTATAATTTTAATTAATAAAATTAGTCCATGGCAACGTTGAATTCTACCCGTCTGGGAAACGACTGATACATTTATAGCCCAGATACAGATTATACCCGTTGCAACGGTCTCTTTACAAGCATTACTATCGGCAGTGTTGCCAAACGCCATGAAGAGACATTGCCGACCACTGGTATACTTCACGCAGTGCCGTTTTTCCAGGCTGCTGTCGGGTCATGTCTACTCTATGTACCCCATTCAGAAGGCGGATCCTGAAATCCTGGTCTCTCTCTTGCTTGGTTGCAGGTGGGAGACGAGTAGCTGGAGCGAGTGCTCCCGCACTTGCGGTGAAGGGTACCAGTTTCGCATTGTCCGCTGCTGGAAGATGATCTCCCCTGGGTTCGACAGCTCTGTCTACAGCGACCTGTGTGAATCTGCTGATATTACCAGGCCGGATGAACGCAAGATCTGCAAGAACCCAGCCTGTGGGCCTCAGTGGGAAATGTCAGAGTGGTCAGAGGTAAGTCAATGGAGAAGTGTGTAGGGGTGCCTTAGGATCTGCATTCAGGGTAGACGAGCGTTTCTTGAGTTCACTTGAGTCTCAAAACGACACCAGAAATCAAAGGCCTGTAAAGCTAGAGCTAAGATCACATGAACCTTTGAGATGCAAACACAGTGATTTCCATAAGCTACAACAAACTCTTATTTTCAGATCTACTCATGGTTTGCCTCTGCTAGTGCCGCAGCGGTGGGAGCATCCTGTTGACTGGTATTTCTTCCATGGTGACATCTCGCTCCACTGGAAGTCAAGTGCCAGCATTCACATTTGAAATGAGACCAGGGGACAGCTGGGGTCCTGGGGCTGAGATGTCCCCATGCTTCCTCCCTGCACCCCAAAGGTCAGGGTTTCGATGAGAGGTCCCTTAAGCCCGTTCTGGAGGAAATGATCATGTCTTCCTTTTTCTTCCTCTCAAACCTCTGATCAGGGATGGGCTCAGCTGAGATCCTGGGACCTCTGAACCCCCTTGGACTCTGAGGAAATATTGATCAAGTCTGGCTTTGCTCCAAACCAGCTTTCAGGTTTTTGAGGCAGCTATGCCAATGGCCTCTTTCCTTGCAACAAGCTTTTTCAGCCGCACAGTGGGTAGGGGTTGCAAGCTCTGAGTGTGACTGGCACCTGCCTTTCATTCATCTTTGCATTCCTTTCTCTCTGCCAACTAATTTAAAAGATGGTAAGGTACAAATTTGCTCCTTTTCCCATAGGCAAAGGGTTCAGGAAGAAACTCTGAAACACAATCACCTGAAAAATCATTACAGACCATGGAGATGAGGCTGTGTCCCATAAATGATTATATGCCCTCTCAAGCATCCCCTCTTCATGGCATCTTGCTGCACCACAAGGAAAATTAAGTGCTTTATTTGTTGTGCCGTAAGCAAATTGCTAAACCACTTGGAAGATGCGTGTGTCATCTTCCTAATGGGGAACAGTTCTGCTCTTGTCTTGGCTTGTCATTTTAAATGTGGAAACATGGGTGACTTAAGACAGACAGAAGCATTCAGGAGCCGTTTGAGCTGAGATGTCATTTTGAAGCAGCGTCAGCCACTAGGCAGCACAGCTACTTTTTGCCTTTGCAAGAGAAGTCTTTTGGATTCACTTACGGCGACCCACCTCGGCTGCGTGCCAGAGAGCACCTGCCAGCTTTCCAGTGTTGAAGTCTGCAGCATAAAACCACTGAAATGACAAAACCAGTGGCCGTTCCTTGGGGAATCCAGGTCCGGATTCCAATCTCAGTGTAAATCCGGAATAGCTCTGCTTAGCACAGTTGGTTGGGATTTACACTCCCGTAATGGAGAGCAGCCCCTAGCATGGGTTTCTAATGAGTGTGGAATCGCACTTCTGTGCATTGTTGGGAAGCAGTCCCGACCTCTTAAATTCCTGGCTCTTTACAAATCTCGACACCGCAGCAGTTGCATCCCTATGCACCAGTCTAAAAACACCAGAGCCAAATTGCTATAGCATCTGGAGGAGCCACCCAGTTTGCCCTTCCAGCTCAGCTGATCTGCTGAGCCTGATATCCAGCCTCACTCAGCAGCTGATTGCATCGGAGGATGTCTGAGCAGCTCCACGATGCTGCTGGGCGTTGATGTGTTGCCGTACGTGGGGCGCGAGTAAATTGCTTCCTGACGATGGGCTGATCCGTTGTTACATTGAAGGATGAGTTTTGATTTCCCCTTTGCACAGATACAAATGTTGTTATTGCTCATATATTAAGCTAGGTCCCTTTCTAAGCAAGATCAAATGCAGTTGGAGACCAGATTCTCTGCTAGTGCAAACTGGCCTGGTTCCACTGACTTCCATGGACCCGTGCCAGTTTTATACCGACAGCTTTTGGCCCCTTTTCTCCTCCCAGGGGATACTTGCTCGTGTTTGAATGCCTCCTTTACGCTGAATGCCAGTGATAAGTAGCTTTCCACAGCACTGTTGATGGAAAGCCTGATATGTTCTCTGAATTTTGTAGGATGTTTTGACTTTCCCCACTCAGTAGAGAGAAGCTCCCTTTGCACATGCCGACGCTGTATTTTGACTGGCTTAAGAAACCAAAGCAGCTTATGTTATAGAAATCCATATTCTCCTCCGGTATGTGTCAGGGGCGGATTGCTGAGCCATCTCCTGGAGTCGGTCTCCTCTAGCCAGCAGCAAAGCTAATCTAATTTGGATCAGCATCTGAAGCAGGGTGCCAAGTTGGCTTGGAAAAGCCATATAAAAAAAAGCACGTTTTGGAGCTCTGAGGATTAACGTATCAGTGCAGCGTGTCTGAGTATTGGGCTGTTGACACTTTTGCCTGCTTTATGTTATGTAACGAGCAAATTTGTATCTGTGACACTGGTGTAATTCAAATCCGCTTCTACAGAACGTTGCTGGGGTTTGACACTGCCAAATTTATCCACCGTATAAAAATCTCAATTGCTGCGGTTTGGAGGCAGCACTTCCAAAGGCCTGGAAACGACTAAGCTAGTTCTTTTCAGAGAGTGAAAGGGGAGCGAATGCACCCCAGTCTTTAAAATGCAGCCACGTTTTCAGGGTTGCTAGGATGTTCTAGGTGCCTCGGGGCCCGAGCAGCCATCCTGGGGCTCCTTTTCAGGGGTGCTCTACACCTGTGGCTGCCACGGGCTGTGAGCATGGCTCTTCTGAAAATCGAGCCCGGGGTATCTCCAACTGCACCCCTAGACACAGGCACTCGTGCCTCCTTGCCATGCTCTCAGGTCTTCGTTTCATAGTGCTGGAATGGCAGGAGTGGAAATGGGACAGGGTTGTGCAGGCGGACCCAGGTGCAGAAGCTGGCTGTCTGGAAAAGGAGCAGGTTTGAGGGTTGGGAGAGACTTTCATGCATCGTCTACTGGGAGCGAAGTGTGTCCTGAACAGTAGCCAGCTGCTGCACTCAGGACTGGCTTTTAACCCAGCCACTGGGCTGCCTTGAAGATATTTGCACGGTGCCGGTAAGATCAATGGCTTGGTGTCTGTTGCAGTGCCAAGGAGAGGACCTGCTGGGGTGTTCATGGTCCTCCCTCCTGGCCCTCCTTTTGTGCAGCACCAGGCAGGATGCAGCCCTTGCTCTACATTTGAGCTCATCTGCAGAGGCTGTGTGGGCTTTGGGTTGGGGGGTGTTGTTTTGCCTTGGATCAGGACTGTCCAACTGGCAGGCTGAGAGCCCAGTAGCATAGCTTGGTGGTGGTGGGGGGAACAGGGCACCAGTCCTAGGTGCTGACCGAAGTGGTTAACCTGCGGCCCTGGGCTCCCAATTTGGCCGCGACTCTCCCATCCGCTCTCCCTCTTCCTATTCCACCTCCTGATGGCAGGGAGCACAGCCCATGGGGCAGAGGTAGCTTGTGGCCAGAGCTTCAGGGGGAGCTGGGGGTGCTGGCACGGCACAGTGTGGAGGTGCCGGTGTCACAGCATGGCACAGCACGTGGCCCGCACAGCAGGAGGCCCCTCAGGCATTGGACAGCCCTGCCCTAGATGTCTGCAAAAGCCCGGTTGTAAGGCTGTTTTCTGTGCATTTCTAGCATATTTCCTGCTTTTTATTTTTTTAAAGCCAGCCTAAGTTGCATCTTAAAGCAGATGCATTGGCCAGCAGGGTGAGAGCGGCCCTGGTTAGAGATGCTGCTGACCCCATGCCTTCCCTCTGTGTCCTTCCAGTGCTTGGCCAGGTGTGGGGAGAGGAGCGTGGTGACCAGGGACATCCGGTGCTCAGAGGACGAGAAGCTCTGTGATGCCACCACCAAGCCGCTAGCCGAGAAGAACTGCACGGGCCCCCCTTGCGACCGGCAGTGGACTGTTTCCGACTGGGGACCGGTGAGTCACCCTTGGGCGGTGGGGAGCAAAGTGACACCAGGAGCCCAAAGTCCATGGTTTTAGCCCTGCTCCTTTATATCATATACAGTCCACAGGCCACGGTCTGCTCCTGGTTGCCTCTGTCTGGCCTGGGAAGCTGCAGCGGAGCTGCCCAGGAGCAGAATTTGGCTCTGTGTTTTCATTCATCTTCTCTTTTGCCTCTTGAAGAAACTTTCAGGATCCCTCTGTGCTTTTTTTCCCCCTCTCTTCCCTCACCTGTGACCTGTGGGGAGTGGGGGGAAGGTCTGTGGTCAAGACAGGACCCCTGGGTTCTCATCTCAGTGCTGTCTGGGCCCGTGTGACCGAGGCTAGTCTCCTGCAGAGCAGCAGCCGGGCAGAGCTGGTCTTGCGGGCTTCGGTTTCCCCAGCCACAAAAGGATGCTTCCGTGCATCTGGCGTTCACGTCTGAAGGAGCAAAGCCTTGTGCTAGACAGCACCCCAGGCTCCTGCCTCTTGGTTGTCGGCTCTGACCACTGCCTGTCTCAGCCCAGTGACGCACCACGAGGGCATGCCTGCCTCGATGCTGGCAAGGCCCTTTGCACTGGACTTTCTTCTGGTGCCGCCCCCATAGTTGTTCTGTGCCCTGGGGCTCTCCTCCCCGCGTGGTGCCCAGGGCACAGGGGAAGGGGTGAGAGAAGATGGCCTGGTGTGCCATCATCTGAGGATAGCAGTGACCTCCTCCGGCCCCCCCAGCATCGTAGCAGGCGTCACCACGATCCCAGCGCTGCAAGTCCACATATAGCAGTGGCCAGCGCAGCGGGGACAGCAGTAAGCAACAGCAATAAACTTTACAAGCTCGGAGAAGTGGCGCCTGCAGAAAGCAAGAGGTGGGAGAGAGCGGAGGAGCCCTTCACGTCGGCGTCTGGAGATTACTGAGGCCACAGCAAATCCTCCTGCCATCCGAACGCTCGCAGTTAAGCTGACCTGGCACCGCTTCCCCCCAGCTGGGGATTATGCTGAACTTGTTAGCTATCGTTCAGAGACCTGAGCTTGGCACCAGCCCCCAGGCTTCCAGTAACACCTCGTCTCCAGCGCAAGCCGAACCCGGCTGCAGGCTCCTTGCACCATCTCCCGTGAGCCAGTGCGTTAAAGGGAGACAGAGAGAGCACAGGGAGGTGATTACAGCTGTCATCGCAGTCCGGGGCTTGGCGGGAGGTGAGGCAGCCAGCTCGGATTTTGCAATCTGCTGGCCCCACCTGTGATTTGTTTTGCGCTTGGGTCCCTGGGGCCTGGAAGGAGAGCCCCCGGGAGTGCTGCGTGGAAAGGCGTCTCCCAAGGGCACTGGACTGGTCTGCGTTCCCAGCCTCTTCTTGCCTTTGTTAGGACCATTTCCAGGTTCAGGTTATTTACAATGCTTCCCGCTCGCTGCAACTACACCGACACCTGCTGTTATCGGCTGCTGTTCAGAGGACGAGAGGCAGCCAGTGGGCTGGGAGCCATCATGGGGTGGGTGGAAAACTCCATCCATCTCCTTGTCCTGCAGTGTCTTGCTTGAATAAACAGCTGAGGGGCTCAGTTCCAAAAACCCAAGGAATTATGATCCCTTTATGTGGCTCTGGTGCAGACTCTTGCTCGCAGCCAGGGCTGGGTCTAGCCAAGGGAATGGGGCAGGCGTGCAGCCTTGCTGTTCCACACAGGCCTCCCCTTATGTCTGTGCAAGTGGCTGGCGGCTTACCCTGTCCCTGAGATGCCCCAAAGCTGGAAGAAGGAGGGGAGGATGGGATTTCCGCCCACCCCTCCTGTCTTTTCTGGCTAAAATGGATAGAGTGCATGAAGCTCAAACCCCTGCCGAAGCTCATCCTAATGCAAGGGAAACCCCTGACAACCAATGCATCGCCTCTGCTTCATCCTGCCCTTCCAGAGACATGCAACAGACTGGTTGCAGTGATCAGGTTAGGCAGAAATTACAGGCTCTTTACTCTGTTTGCACGCTCTGTGCAGCAAATTTGAGGCCAGATTTTAGACTCATTTCCGGCAGGGGCCTCCCCTTGACTCGTGTAACTGAGAGCACAGATCAGCTGCGAGAGATTAGCACATGCTTCTTTATCCACCCTGGTCTGGTTTGAGCAAACTTCTGGGTTTGCTCAGTTCAGCCTCTGGGCCACTCACAAACAGCCGGGGCAAAGCTGTTGGCTGTTCGCTCAGTGGGATCATCTGTGCCGCACAACGGACTGACTCGCAAACCTACCCAGGTCTTTCCAGGTGGTGGTTTAAATGCCCTGGACACATGGACGTGCATTTGCACGAATGGCAGGGAATCCGCTTTGTTCTTCTGAACAAGAATGAGCTAACAGTGGAAGCGAACCAGAGCGTTTCCCACATGCCATCAAAGAGGTGGCCCCATTTCCAGTCTAGCCATACTTTTATTGCACTCTTCACTCAGTCTGCTCCTGCACTTCTGAGCTTCTCTTCTTTTTCCCCCAAATCCTCTCTCTGTCTCCCTGAGAGTAGAGAACGAGCAGTGTCTCTCTGACTTGATCTCACCAACCAGGGCTGGGTAATCCCAGCTACGTTTTCATGCCAGACCCTTGCGTCATGTGAGAGCGAGCAAGAACCTGTTGAGCCCTGAACTCAGAGCTCATATTTTGGGTTCAGCTTCCTCTCTAGTTGAAAAAGGAAGGACCTGGGGATGGGAGTGCGAAGAAAAGGGGAGGTGGGATTGAAGTCCAGAGGGACCCCAGATGGTATGAAATTGCTGTTGCAGTCCCCAGCTTTGCTTCTGCTCTTTCAGCCGTGCCCCTGCTGAGAGCCAGCAGCTGCACCTTGTGCCCAGCCAGGTCTGCTTGTGAGACGGACAGTTGGACGTCACTCGTCACTTGTGGGTGACTGACTCAAAGCAACAGATCCAGTTCCCCATCCCTCTTGTCAGGTTGGTTGGGAGCCCTCTGGTTTCGTACATCTTTTTGGCTAGTGCCAGAGGTGCTCTTTTTTTGGTCAGTAGGTCCAGGAAGAGCGGGGTGACACTGAATTACCTTTTCACCCCTCCCCATTTGAACTGTGCTTCTGGGTCCATTTTGCATTAGGCAGGCACTTGGTTTCAGAGCTGGGAGACTTCCCAGGCTACAGGAGCTCTCCCCGACTATGCAAGGCTATGCGTGCAAAAACACACGTGCCCTTTTTGATTGCGCAGTTGGTTATGTGTACAAAACTATGTGCAAATGTGGAGCTGGCTGAAAATCAGGGTGCAGGATCTAGACCAGCATCATCACTGTGCCTGTTCTCGATATATCCTTGCCAGGGTTTTCCGCGGCTTGTCACGTTCCACATTAAGCCTGGGCACGCACTGCCAGCGTGATCCCATCATCCACACACAGGAGAAAACCACAGTTATGAACAGTGAATGGTCCAGCTGCAAGGATCTTAGCTAATGTGCATCCAGCTCCAAACTTCTGCTTGGTTGCAGGAGCACTTGGGCAGGGGGTTCAAGCTTAGCATTACTGACAGCCTAGCTCTTCCCAATGCAAAGCAAAGATCTGGTGGGTGGGCCACGCCTGGAGATCCCTGCTCCCAAAACTTCTCCTGGCTCAACCACTTGAGGACTTCAGCACGGGTCATCAGGTGTGGGAGGTGCTCCAGTTTTCATTAACCATCATAGCCCGAAGAGCAGGGATGTGTGAATGAAACGTGCTGGTGACATGACGTTGAGAGGCATCCTCGCTCCAGAGGAGGATCAGAATATCATAGAGGAAAGATTGGGTGGCTTGGAGGCATGAGAGTCTATCTTCTTCCTTGGGGTATAATCTTTGCTTGAAATGCCTGAAGTTTGGGAGATTTCAAACAACCCCATGGCCCGCCCCCCCTGCCCCCCAAATATCTTTCTTTAAAAAAAAAAAAAAAAAAAAAGG